TTTCCCCCCCCCCCCCCCCCCCCCCCCCGCCGAGTTCTACTCCCCACCTAATTAGGCCAACACAGGGAAATGGTACTCGACACACTTGTGTGTCCGTGCCTTTCCCTTTGTTGTTCCTGTTCTAGTCTTCTCTACCCGGGCGGTCTAAGACTAAAGTCTCGCTCCCTAACTATTGCATTTAATTCGCCTCGGCTAAGTAGTCAGTAACTCTAGAGTGCTAAGTAGTCATACACACACACGGACACACACATGCTACATACACCCCCTCCCTGCCCCCCCTCTTTCTTCTTACGCTTTCGGTCGTTTCTTGGGCTTTCTCTCAGGCTTTTTAGGTTGTTCTTGAGGCTCGTTTCCCTGCCCCAGTCAAGGGCTAAGTATTCACCTTTTTTCTACTCCTATCTTTCTCTCTTGCCCTCTTAGCGCTGCTCTTTCTGTGTTTCTTTCTTTTGTTTCTAAGGCTTTTTAGGTATCTATTCAGGTTCACCGCGAGAGCGCCGCAAAGCGGCACCGTGTGTGTGTCAACCCCTGTCCCTAAGGGTTCTGAGAAAACCAATGTCGGAGTGTCACACTCTGTATCTAAGCGTTTTCCTTGTTTTGTTCCTGCAGGTGGGCGTAGCGTCTTCAGATGACTACGCCCAACGAAGCTAGTCTGAACACGGGATACCAGGATTGGCCATCCTGGCGTACCTGCGCTGACGGAACTGTTGCTTAAGCTTTTCCACTTTCTGTTTGCTTCCACGGTCCTTCATGCACTCCCACAAACAGGTTTCCCACCGCAGCGTTCAGCCCCCTTGTGAATTGCCGCCAGCCGCGCGAGTGAAACATTTTTTCAACAATTCAAGTCACCGGACTCTTTCACCTGGCTTTTCCATCACCTTCCTTCTCAACTTGGGAACTGGGTTAACAGCAAACCAATGTCAGAGTGTGTTAAACTGCAAGAATGCACTAGCAGGGACACTCTTCTGTTGATACTGATGGCAACGAGCATCAGTGAACAGCACAAAAGCATAAATAACAACACCATAACCATAACTAGCCATTCCTTTGTTTGGGCTGCCCTGGATGATAGTGCTTCTTTTTTAAACAGATGGCAGCGGCAGTGAGCAGAAACAAAAGAAACACAACATAACCAAGCCAAGCCTTTGTTTGGGCTGCACTGGATCATAGGTTTGCTTTTGTGGGGTTTACAGATGGCAGTGATCAATACTTTAAACAGTTTTTGTTTGGGCTACAAGGGGTTATAGGTCTGTTCTCTTTTGGTGTTGAGAAGTCGATCTGTTTTTGCCGTCAAGTCATACGGCAGACGGTGTGATCATGCTTCATGGTGCCTTCCCCCTTGGTAGTTGTGCAAACGGAACCTTCATTTCCCTGGTATTTGTGGTACCAGGAAGGCACCATGGTACTCCTGTCTCATGGAACATCGGGTGCTGGGACCTGAACTGGCCGGGGCGACCATTTTGCGGGCACGACTCCGAAATGCTTGGAGACACACAATCCTAAATCACCCGACCCTAGCATGTATACACGCCACACCAGGAGTAGTGTTTGGTTTGTTTTTTTTCCTGACCAGTGTGCAGCGTGCTGTTATAGTCTTCAGATGCTTTTCATCGATCAAGTCAGAGTTTGGCGACTCCGGAGAGGGTGTGCTACCCAGTTTCTGCTTCAATGTACAGTATTAAGCACGTTGCCAGCACGCATTGGCATTTTCCAATTTATCAATTTTGCACAGGGCCGCTTGGAATCCATCATGGATGCGTGAGGCTTGTGTTGAGCGCAGCCGCTCCGTCACTCCGTGCAAGCGGTAACAACCTGTTGGCTAGTACAAGGGCTTGTGTTGACTGCAGGACTCCTTGGTTGTCAAAGGGGCAGCATACTACCTACTGGTAGCCGGGTAGCCCGAGATATTTTGGAGTAATTAGTCACTTAGGCTTAGCTGCTAATTGCTTGTGGAAGGAATCCTTCTCGAACACTGGGAGCTGCCAAGAGGCCATCCTGGCATTTTGACCACCGGCCTCTAGGCCGATCCTGGCCTGAATCATCCTGAATATTCTTTGGACAGCAGAGGGGCAGAGGGGCACAACTTTTAGAGAAGATTCCAACACCGCTGGCAACTCTTGGGGCTGGGAGGCACCTGGATGGTACGAAGCCAAAGACCTAGAGGATCTAGAGGGGCCTTGCTTTTGCTGGTAGCGATGGGGCCCTAAGTATTCGGAGATTTCGAGGTTGTTGAGTTCCCTGGCCCCAACTGCAGCGGGTGAGACCAAACAGCGAGACTGGACATGAATTCAGCGAGCGGTGTGCGTGAGAAGCAGAGGCGTGGCCTTCCAAGGTATGCCACTTGCTAATACGTTATCAAACCAGTTCGAATTGTTTGGGATCATTCTGTATTTGTAGGTACGTTGACAGATCGCCGCCCCATGTGTGTTATACCAGAACAATAGATACTTCATCCCAGGCACAGACAAACAGTTTGGTATTTCTCCTTGTGTGTGTGCACATCATATATTGTGAGCCCAGAATCCTGAGTCCAGGATTCAACTTTCTGGGGAGTCTTGAATCTTGAATCCCAACAAAGAAGGTCTCTACCATTTGTATCCAATTGTTTGGGTTTGGGGGCTGGAAGATGCCAATAAGTATGGATGCTATGCACAGGTCCGAAAACAAACAGACCTCAACCTGGCAACAATTATATATCCTCCTATGGCACCCACCGGCCCAAATTACAAACACATTCCAACAAGTTCTAAAACATAATTGATATTCCCTGTTAGAACTGCCAAAGCCATCAAGGAAACCAAATTGTGTGTTTCTTGGGACTACATATGTAGAATGAATAACTCTATTATATATTATATAAC